AGTTACTCTTTGGCTCAAAATATAGCGATCCCTCAGCAGCACTGATTATACCAGCGCGTCAAACGCAAGTTTATCCTCCGGATGCCGGACCGGCCTCGAGTCGGCCGACACAAGTGCCCCATAAGAGGCGTGACACGGCAAGCCAGTGCCCGCAACCAAGGTGTCCGCATTTCCCCGGAGAGAACACCGGTACCGACAGGCCCTGAACAAGCGCACACCCGGCGCGTGGATGACATGAGAGTTGTCCCGACATTGAAGGTAAGGAGGGCCGGGACGAGCTTGCCGCGCGCAGACAAACCTAAGTCCAACCAGCCATCACAGATGAGGGCCCGGTTGAAAGCCAAAACAGCATGTTGGAAGTTATTTATGCAGTCCCGCCTGGTCATGGCCTGGGTACTGTTCGGTTTCCGCTGTTGTGCGAAGCACCCTACAGCCTGGCCAACCGTCGGCCTAACAGCAGACTGAATTTTGTGATCACCGAACTGGTCGCCACTGGGGCGGGACCATGAGTCGATTGCCAACTGCGCTGCGTATTGCCCCTCGGTTTTGTTCCTAAAGAAGGCCACTCCCAAATTCCGCCTAATTTCTGATGCACGCTATGCTATATTATCGAACACCGTGTGGTGCCGAGCTACAGGTATAAGTCCCGTGGGATGCTTGTGGGAAGTGCCACAACCACACGGCTATCTGCCCACCGTGTCTCAGAAGTCCGGCTATCACCACATTGATATGCACAAGGAAGCTCGGCAATCTTAGGCTTTGCACAGCAAGGGCGAATTTTCCCAGGTTGTGCAGTGCCCAGTAGGCTGGCACCAGCCTGTTGGGGTTTTTTCGCACACCAGGGTGCGGGCGCCCTACCAGCGGCGAGAGCGGGTTCTCACCGACTTGGTGTTGACACCATCAACGGCTCAATTCGTCCCGAAAGGATGAGACTCGCAGTGCAGAGGATGGTGGAACCTGCGCAGCGTTCAACAGCTGTACTCCCTACTGGGTGCATGAGATCGCGGACCTTTCGGGCATGTCGCTATTGCTGCCCCAATGTGGTCCACAGTTTTACCGGTCCAGGTCTGGTCCTACCGCCAGCCATGAGCTGTCGGAGTCGCCAAATATTGCACGTTTCTTTGCAGTCTAGGGTGGGTTAAACTCTTTTGGCAACCTACCCACGCGCACCCATTTGCCATCCACACAGATGCTGTTCCGAGTTTTTCGTATGGCGGCTGGGTTGGTTGGGTCCTTGAGGACGGTGCCCTTGCTGTGGGCTGATGGGTATCGGAACTGGAGGGTCCATCTCAGACTCCTGGAACTGTCGGTGATGTTTAATGTGTTACCGAGCCTCATTCGGCAGGGGTGCTTGGACGCCCAGCGGGTGCTGGTGACAATCAAAGCCAACCTGCTAAAGACTTGATGATCCAAAGGTGGACCCCTTGTGGCCATGCACATGACGTGTGTGCACCACTGCTCTGGTAATAGGGCTTGGATCTCAGTGGATTGTTTCCCTCTTGAGTGCCACCAGTTCGCGGACGCACCCTTCAAGGGGCATGGCCCTTTCGTTTGGCTGCTAAACCCTGCTTTGTTTGCACAACTGGCCAGACCGTGGGGTCACGAGGATAATTTGCAGTTGCCTTAGTCACATCGACAGCAGTCACCTAATGCTCCCCCTTACAATTTCACCAGATACTGACATGCGACAGGGTGCGAATGTCGCTGGGTGGTGTTTCCGCCTTCGCAATCATCGGACAAGCCCTGATGCATGCAACCGCCACCATGCACGGCTTTGGTTCACCATGTCTCTCGGGCCTCATGCAACCTGGTGGCCCAAATTCATAAAATCCATAATAATAGTCATCATATCATCGTAATAATTACAGTAGTAGTAGTGATAGCTTAGTCTTGGCTGCAGCTTTTCCGTTCGTCCAAGCTAGTCTGTGTTACTGAAAGAGGGCATAGTCCCGTCCACTCGGGGTCACCCAAGGGGTATCCACCCGCCAAGATGATACACGATTGCATTCCCAGTGGACTTTGCCGACGGCGCCAACTTTGTGCCAGTGCCACCCCTGAAATGCAGACCCTGATACACATATCGTGCCCCACTTGTAGTGGTCCGTGTGTGCTGCAAGCGGCACCGATGGACACGATATGGGTTGTGCGGCATCGTCACCACCATCCCTTCCCTCCGCTGGGTCGTGGCCAACTCGGATGGCATGCTGAGCTTGGAGCAGCATACCACGCCGCTTAACACAACCATCCCACTAAACCATACAGACTGCTCCGGGCCCCCTGTGGAGGCTCTTTGTGGAGGCAGGGCTGTCTCCGCGCTTTGGAACACACTCACTGCACTCTGAAGGTGTGACCGCTGCCGTTAACAACCGTGCGGATTGCAGCTTGGTGCAGCAGCTGGGTGCTGGAAGAGTGCGGAGGTTTCGAGAGCATAATGGTGAAGACAGCACCGCGGCTGGGGCATGGGTGAGGACCCTCTTGACCTATACCAACCAGTGATCGTTGCACTTGTGGGTCCTTTCAAGACCTGTCATTACTATCGGCCACTAATGCAACTTTCACAATGGGTTGGTGTTGGGAGGGGGTTTCGCAACGGGTTGCTTTGCTACGGAGTTGTGCTTGCGGTTGGCGGCTTAGCTACTGTAACGCACCACGGCAGGACTGAGCAATAAGCTTCGACTTCTCGAAGCGAAGTATGAGTGTAGAGATAGGCAAGTTATTGCGAAGGAACTGCCGTGGTGCGTGGAAGTCGGGCGCATGCATGCATGCATGTGCCGGACCGCAGTACGGCAAGGGACGCCGAGCTCCTACTTGGGTCCCACAGGCGCATTGGTTCTTTAACTGCCGTTGTTTTGACTATTACCAAGAGGTGTGTCCCGCTGCTGGGACAGTGTCCTCTAGTTTCCCCCCACCCACCCACAGGTCGGTATCGTACTAATTGTCCTTTATTATGGGTTTAAGTTTGGAGTACCCGTATCGGTGCGTTCTCTCATCAATTTTCTGTGCCTCGTCGTTCCCCCCACCCACCCAGGGCAACCCCGGGGGTTGCCACAATGCAGCGGTCCCTGGTTTGTCCTTGCTGGTTTCGGGTGGGTCGCCCGCGTGGCTCTTGTCGGGGCGCTTGAGGTTGCAGATTCGTTAACGGTGCAACACAGGTAACTGTCATTACTATCGGCCACTAATGCAACTTTCACAATGGGTTGGTGTTGGGAGGGGGTTTCGCAACGGGTTGCTTTGCTACGGAGTTGTGCTTGCGGTTGGCGGCTTAGCTACTGTAACGCACCACGGCAGGACTGAGCAATAAATGATAGAAGCAAAGCCATTGACGATGTTATATAAGGCGATAAGATGAAGAGTCATCCAAAGACCTCACAATATTTTTGACCACTGATCAAATCACTGGCCAACCCTTCCTGAAGATGTTGAAGTGAACAGTTCTCATTTGAGGACGTTGCCTAAGAACGCTGCGCGTTCCTATATCAAAATAATCTTCGACTCCTTCAAGTACTATACGGATCAAGTCCTGACACTCATCCTTTGTAAAGTTTCAGATCCACGCGACAACGTAGCGAACGATGTACCGCAACCACTCCCAAGAACCCCGGCCAACCCTGCTAGCATAAATAAGATGCCGTCTTCTATTCAATGCAACTTGCCAGCGAGGCGTACCCCCTCGCATGGCAACACAGCGTGATAACCCTGCAATTGCATGCTGCACCTGCGCACTTTCACACATACACCGCACAGAACCGGCACACACCATTGTCTCTTGCCTATTCACGCAAATGAAAGCAACACGCGTCCACTCACAACACCTCAAGCAATTCGCCCCAGCAACACCCTATCCCCTCGCATCCTAAACGCTGCTCACATCACATGGCAACGGCAATCGGGGCCCTTTCCATCGCCATATTCACTCGCCACGTCAGCCCGATCTCCTTCTGAAACCACAGCCAGCTTCTGCCGCAGTGGGCGTGCTGTGCCACCGTTGCTGCGTGCGCTCTGTTTTGCGCCGTTCTCTGCCATCTCCACCGCGGCGGCGACCAGGGCTGCAACAATGTCCTCCGCCAGCAGCAGCCCATCGAGTGTCCGGGCCATGGTAGGACTTGGTTTGGCGACGACGTCTGACCGAGCAGGTGATGTTCCAGGCCAGGCGCCGCTGCTATTAGTGCTGGCGGCCGCCATGTGTCGGATCACCGCCAAACCGCGCGGCTGGTACTGAATCGCCTTGTGTCCCGAGCCCGCAGCCGGTGATTGCTTCAATGCTGAGGACGGCGTCAAGGGATTGGGCCCCGGGCTGCTAGCCGTGGTCCTGTATGCCAGCGGAGAGCCCGGCGCTGGGATCTTGGTCCCTGGTGTCAGGTACGCCACCCGTGGGAGGCGCGTTTCCGGCGCCTTATAAGCAGCTGCAGGAGTGTTGGAGGATCGCAAGCGCCCCGCGGGGGCCCTTGCAGTGGCAGAAAGAGAGAGTGTAGCGCCGCGGTGCTTGGGCGTAGCAGAGGAAGGCTCCGGTGTCCAGTTGCCGGCAGCTGACGCTGGAGAACGGCTGGGTGTGCAGTTTACAACTTCTGGCGCCGGCGCAGTCCTCCTGCGAGCCTCCGGAGTCCGTTGGACGGATACTGCCGCAGGGGAGCAATTACTGCTGTCCTTGTAATCTGGTGGCTTGCATTCCTGGCTGCCGCCGTTGCTATACGGTCTCTGGCGAACGGGTGTTATGTTGCACTGCTGCGCTGCCGAGGGGGCTGTTGGCCCTATCACTTGGTCAGAAGGCCGCGCGCTCTGGGTAACGCGGGCGGTCAGTGAAGTCTCACCATTTCCGGGGCTGTCCGCGATGGATGAACGATCCCCAAGGCTTTTGTTCAGTTTGTTCCTGAGGCTGTAGCGCTGGATTTGCCTCTGCAAAATTGGGGACGGACCCGAGCCCCATACTCGCCGGTAAATATTGCCTTTCGATTTGGACGACCCCAGTGGTGTGTGAGAATCTTCGTCTTCATCGGCAAGCTGGATAGATACCAGCGGTTGTGGTGTATGGTCGCTGTAGCCTGCAGGCTGGTACCCAAAATCCGCTGCAGCTCCTGTAGGAAGCGACGTGAAAGCTGGCTCGGCCTTAGGAGATTTCAACAAAGCCCGATCATATGAGTATCCTGCAGCATGTCAGGAGAAGAACGCATGAGGCCACTGTGAAGAGGGGCAGACTGTAAGAAATACAAAGTTTGACCACCTGGGGAGTTAATCGCCAGATAAGCCTGCGCTGCATCACCCCATTCGTCTAGAGCTCCTCCATCGACGTCACTTTTTCCATTCTGGAAGGTCGGTGCTGGTCCGGGGGATGTTATGTACTGCGCGGAGACCATTTCGCAGACGCAGCGATAAGCTAAGGTCAATCCTTTTATGGGGTCAAAATAATCATCGCCTTATAATGTTGTTGCGCAGTCTGGACGGCGACAGTTGTTTGAGTTTGTGCTGCGAACTGTCGCTGAATTTCTTATTATCGCTCGTCCATAGTATCGTACTATGATAGCCGAGGACCCAAGCAGGTTCCAAGCGAAAGCACAAAGTTACAGTAACATCATGTATCTATGCTAATGTTTGCTATCGTTGATTAGTAGCGATTCGCAGCGCAAGCTCCGCCGCCCACTTTCGTGGCGAGCACGAATTGTGTCTCCGCTTGAGCAATGAACTTGCTAGATAGACATGTTAATCTTAACTGAAAATCTTTTTAGCCCACATCCTTAATTAATACGGCGTTGGGCATTAATCGCCAGTACCATGTTGGATAGGCAGCTGAGCTCTGCTGGTTGCTCCACATCGTACGCGGCTTCTACTCGGCTCGCTACTCGTCCGCGTACAAATTGCAGACGCCGTGGGTCTCGTGGGAGGCAAGTAAAGCCATGTTTCATCTATAACCACGCATATTCCTTGGCTGATAGGAGGTGCTACTTTTGACTGCAGGTGCTCCGCACAACAGCGGCCCTACAGAGGTTCGTATTCTCCCGAAAGGGTGAGTCACTAGGGCTGCTGGGTTCAACAACACCGCTGAAGAATTGAAGCGTGAGCTGTTGACGTGGCGGTTTTGCCTCCCTCCCCGCACCAGGAATCATCTCGCGGAACTGGACAAGCCCATCGGCCTTTGGGTTCCGTTGTAGCCAGCGCGACAACGGCGTCTCCGCCGTTGTCTCGCCATAACGGACTTCACTCTTTGCACCCCGATCTCAGCACAAGCATTCCCGATGCTATCCCCAGCCTGGAGCAACTTGAGGACCTTCGCACCCGGGCCATTAAGGCTTCACAGGCGAGGGCGGGGACTCTTATACGGGGCGCGGCTTCAGTTCGCGGTGCCAAAAGCGAGGGCACCAAAAGCAGCAGCTGCGGCCGGGTCAGCCAACCTTTTGCTGATACAGAAGATTTTCTTGCTCCTGATGACCCAGCCGTGGACCCACCCCCTGCACCTTCCGCGGAGAGGAGAGAGTGCCCGACAGCGGATCCTGCTGCTCCTGCTCCAATGGCTCCGGCGGCACCCACCCGCTCTATGCTCTCCCGGGCAGTACCCCCTCCCCAGCACCCCTCCCGCCCCCAGCCGTCCCGGGCGGGAGCTTCGGCGGCACAGAGCCGCAAAATCGCCTCTGGCTCAAAGCGCCCGGCCTCTCATTCGTTAACCAAACCGCCGCCTGCGTACCGCACAATGGCGATCAAGAGCGAACGGAACTGGCGGCAGCTGCCGGGCCTGCTTGCGGAGATGGCGCCGGCAGGCCGGCTGGACGCATTCACTGCCTCGACCTTCCTGACGCACCTAGCGCAGCTGGTAGCCAAGTCCCCGCCGGTATCGCGAACAGACCTGGCGGCTATTGAGCACATGCAGGTCCGGTGATGGGGCGTGAGACGTGTGCTCTAGCAAGACACTGGGGGCCGGGTACGGATGCTGTAATTGCTGCAAAACACTTGCGGGACACATTACGTTAACCCATTGAACTTGTACGAGGTTGCTGGAAGATATATCTTCCTAACTCTTAACTTCGTGTTGTTACAGTCCTAACTCTTTGGGCCTGTGTTCCTAGTTGATGACCGTCCTTAACACTAGATGCCCTTATCTTCGTGTTTCATGCAGACGGTCTTGTTGGGTTCTGTGGAGGCCTGGATGCACGAGTACCGAGCTCGGCAGGTGCGTGGGAGGCCGGGTGAAATGGAAACCGATTGAGCAACTCTAGATGTAAGGAAAGGAGTAGAAAACGTTTCGCCCTTGAAGTTGGCACGGCAACCTCAGCAGCTTGCAACGAGCTTCCCTGCATCTCGCCTCTCCAGCTGCTAGTGCCTCTCCGATGCCTCGCCTTCAAAGTCCTGTCGCTAACCTACTACTGTGGACGCGTCTTACGGTGGTATTGCACAGATATCCAACATGACCTGGGCGCTGGCTCGCCTGGGGCTGCCGTCCGGAGCTGCTTTCGTGCGGGAGCACCTGCTGGCCGCCAGCTACCCGCTGCTGCCCTGGTAAGAGAGGCCCGGCCGGTAGTCCTCCGTTGGCGCTGGATTCAATGTGCGCGTGATGCTGGAAAGCGCAGGAGAATAGGCAGCGGCGCGGGATGTGATTGCTTCTGGGTACAACAGCGCTACGCTAGGTTACACCTTTCAGAGCTGAAGGGATGTGCTTCCTCGCCTTCTCCCACCAGAGCATAGCACCACCATAGCTGCCGCACGCACGGCTTCCTGCGCCCGCCCTCGCCTCCTAACCGTCACATTCCCTCATTTCCTGTCCTCGCGCTCACTGGCTTTTGTTGCCGCCCAGGTACGAGCCCCAGCACCTATCGAACACCTTATGGGCGCTGGCTACCATTGGCGTGGCGCCCGACGATGAGTGGCTGGAGGAGTACCTCACGGCGGCGTTCGTCGCGTTGCAAAAGAGAGCGCTGGCGCCGCAGCACCTCGCCAACGTGCTGTGGGCACTGGAGCGTATGGGGGTCATGCCGGATCAGGTGCGACGCTGGTGTGGCCGCTGGGCGGTCCGTGTGGCCAAAGAGGGCACCGCGCGGCTACCACTCGGGCCAGGTTGTCTGATATAGAGCTTGGTCGTTAAAAAATCGATGTGCGGTGGTTCGGTGATTTCGTGATCCTGGTTGGAGGGAGGATTGCGATGATTGCAACGGGGGCGGTAGGCGTGATACCTGTAATGACCGCGGTGCCTTCCTATTGACACAACGCCGCCTCTGCCTGTTTCCATATGTGGCGCAGGAGTGGATGGCGGCATATTACGACTGCGTGCAGGCTGCTGCGCCGGTTGCCAACCCGCAGGACTGCAGCAACATCCTATCCTGCCTGGCGCTCATGCGCATGCACCAGCAGCAGCCCGCCGCCACCTTGACATTGACGGACCACCTAGCGCAACGTTTGCAGGCGTTGCTGTCAGGCAGCAATGGCACAGCGTCTGCCGTGTCAGCGGCGGTCACGCCGGCGGCAGCGGCGGATGCCGCTGTGCTGACACCCACGCCGGCACACAGCGCCGGCGGCCGCCTGCCGGAACCTGCCGGTGCCGCTGTCGACGTCAGCGATCAGGCCATTGCCAACAGCCTTTGGGCGCTCGCGATTATGGGCGTCCAGCCCTCGGGGAGCTTATGGGATGCGATCATGGCGGCGCTGCGGCAGCGCCTGGCAGATCCGACGCGGCTAGCTCCGGGCATGCACCCCGTGGCGTTGACGATTATTCTCTGGGCCAGCTCGACGCTGGGTCGACTAGTGCCGACAGCGGTGACGGGCTTGATATACGGCCGGGTGCGGGCGCCGCAGATGGACGCCATGGAGCCTCGTAGCTTGGCGACCATGGTGCGCTGGGCTGTGAGCTGATGAGGAAGGGATATGTGAGGGATACGTGGTGGCCCGGGTTCGAGGAAGGAGGCCTAGCGGTGGGCCGGAGGGGAGGAGACCCTCAGCAGAGCGCACCTGGTCGGGAACAGGGACCGCCTCCGTCTGGCACACTTTCGGCCGCCTGCAGCGATTGCGCCGGGAGATCAAACGAGTTACTCCGCCTTTCAATTCCTGGCGATGTTGCCTAGGTTTCGGAGTATCATCACGGCTCGGTATTCATTATCATTCACGCCCAGTATTCACGGCCCGGCGTGTCGTGCTCGAAGCGCCATGAAGTTGCAATTACCAACTGAAGGTGTAACACACGCAATCCGCGCAACTGAAAATGTAACATACTTACACACGCGGCTACGTCGGTGCGTGAGGTCGCTTCTATTCGTGGACGTGTATCGTGTCGACACGTGGCCATGTGCCCCTGTGTCCCCCTGTGTGTGTGTGCGTGTGCTCATGCAGGTATGGGCGCTTGCCACTGCGCCCCGGGAGCAGGCTCGGCCCCCTCCTGACTGGGTGGCGGATGTCGTGGCGGTCTCGGGGCGCTCTCTGGCGCCCATGGGGGCTCAGGTGGGGCGGCAGGGGTGGGGGCGGCGGGGCCTGGGTTAAAACCCTTAACTCCTTAAAACCCTAAAACTTTATGTTGAGCACTAGGCGGGAAACTTGCCTAATGCTTCTAGGCTTCAGTGGAAGATTGGGATATCCATCCTGGCCCACGGTCTGCCTGGCTGTATCTGTTTCCTGGTTATTGTCCAGGTGCTCCACAACCCCCATCCGCATTACGTAGCATGTTACTGCGCTGCTTCAGCCCTCCCCACCTGGACGTGCAGTATGTTGAGGACCTGTAGTACGCTGTATGTCCCGTGTCAACCTTGCGCGGTCTCCCTCAACCTGATGCCGCGCTTTGCCTCCCTTGCTTTCCTTCCAGGCTGTCAGCAACTTGCTGTACGGACTGTGCCAGCTCGGTGCGCGGCCGCCACCCGCCTGGATGTCTGCCGTCATCAACCACTTCCATCGCAACCTAGGACTTGAGGTAGGTTGGAAGGGGGCGGACAGGTTGAGCGATGGGGGGGTTGGGCGGGACCCGCCACACTGAGTGAAGCGGCATGCGACCTTGCGTGGATAGATGCGCGGCTATGGCTAGGCCGTCCGTTTCAAGGCGGGTTTTACGGCGAATAAGAAGCTACGGAAGTGGGTTAAGGAAGGGGCGAATCGCGACGTTAGGAACCAACGATGCCGTCTTAAAACTGTGACACGAACCGTTATGTTCTCATGCCATATGCTCTCCCGCTCCGGCGCCCATTGCTGACGAACTCTCGATCTGGCGCCCGCAGGCCAGCGGTCAGTCGTTGAGCAACGTGCTTTGGTGCCTGGCCAAGATGGGCTACCGCCTCAACGTGGAGGGCATGGACATCCTCTTCGGCCTCGTGCGCAGCCAGCTGGCGGCTTGGCGGGAACATAGCACGCAGCAACAACAGCAGCAGCAGCAGCAGCACGGCCGCAAGCAACAGCAGCTGCAGGCGTTGTCGCCGCCGCCCTTTAACTCGCAAGAGATTTCCAACGTGCTATACGCGATTGCCAGCATGGGTTATGAGATCGATCCCGAGGGGGAGCTGGCGGAGCTGCTGCTCGACGCTGTGCACTTCAGGCTGGGCGAGGCGAATGCACAGGAGCTGAGCAATGTGATGTGGTGCCTGGCGGTCCTGCAGGTGTGGGGGGCATGAGGCGGCAACTAGGTCCTAGCGAGAGGAACAAGTCGTTGGATTTGGGCATACGGGTAAGGCAATGGATGCCTGTAGGCAATGTGGCTTGAGGTACCGTCGAGCAGGAGCGGCGTGTCCCTTGGATTGGCCGGCGTGTGAGCTGTGCCTGGCCACATCACGTGTTATCCTGATTTGATAGCGTCAAGGCTGCAATGCTGCAGGGTGATTCGTCCAAGACTGGTGCGGCGGTTGAAGCATTTTGCTTGCATGATCGGGTACCAGCCTTCGGTCTTTGTCTGGTAGTAGTGGTAATTTTTTCTCTCTCTCTCTCTCTGAGTTTTAGAGTGATTATTGGTTTTATTTAGCTCTTGGGTCCCTCAGGGCTCATGTGAGTAGATTTCTTAGTGTGATTTGTGTGCGCCACACCTCGGATTGCGTTATACTTATATACACACACACCACTAGATTCCTGCTCATCAGAGCAACACTATAACTCGGTTTAGGTTTGGTCGCGTGTCCTCCGCTGTGCGGGCGGAGGTGGTTCAGCATTTACTTGCCTTAAGTAGGATGAGAGACGCCTGCGATGGGAGCGATGATGTGCATGTACCCGGTTTCTCGGAAGTGCCGACCTCAACGGTTACCTCACATTCCGCCTCTGCCCTGCGGTCCCCCGTCCCGCCTGCAGATCCGTCCCTCGCAGCCGTGGCTTGATGACTATTTCACAGCTGCACACTCTCGCTTGCCTACCTTCAAGCCGGTCGACCTCGCTCAGTCCCTGTACGGCGTTGCCAAGCTACGACTCCCCCTTCAGCCCCTTCCTGAGCTATCCAGAAGCGTAGTGGTGCGCAGCCCGAAGTGCAGCGCACCACTCACAGCTACTGTTGCTTCTGTTGATACGCGCGCTGTAGTCGAGGTGCCGGCTTACTCCGAAACCACGTCCACTGCTACGGCCTCGTCCACGTCTGCGGCAACTAGCTGGGCGGCCGCGGCCCTGGACGCGGCGCCGCAGCTGATCGCGTCCGCGAACGCCCAGGACCTGTGCAACTTATCTTGGGCGTTGGTGCAGCTGCGGGTGCCTGTGCAGCCCGACTCGGCCCTGGTGGCGGCCTTCACCGCCCGGCTGGTGGCGCTGGCGGGCAGCTGTGACCCGTCGCAGTTAGCGCTGGGCGTGTGGGCGCTGGGAAAGTGGCGCGCGCGGCCGAGCAAGACGCACATGGAGCGACTGGAGCTGGCAACGTTCCGACAGGTGGGAGGGGGTTCGCGGTTCCTTAATGCAAGCTAACCCTGTCCTGGCTGCATCGGTGAGGGACGAGACAAGGGATACGGGGCCGGTGTGTTGGCCCCGGGGGGCTTTTGGACAACTTCTCAAACAGAAGGAATGAAGAGGACATGGCCCTCTTATTGTCCGTTTGTATGTTTCATGTCCCAAGTGAAGTGTCGGTTCTGGCAGTGATGTGAGTCCCCCGCCGCTCCGTACCCCCTGTCTCAGGTTCCGTCCATGCGGCCTCACGAGCTAGCCGCCATGCTGAGCGGCTTCACCGGCATGGGCCACACGGCGCCCGCGGAGTGGCTGTCGGACGCCATACAGCAGGTGGCGGCACGCAGCAGGGAGTTCGGGCCGCAGGTAAGAGGCTGTGGGTGAAGGCGGAAGGGGAGGAGCAAGTCGCTGGCATATGCGATTTTGTGTCTTGGAACGTGTTGAGATGTGCGAGGTGTGTTACCTGGGCAGTTGAACCGTCTGCATATCTGTCTCTGTTGCAACTGACTGACGGACTGAGTGGGTGGTGGTCGTACTGGCCGTCCTGACGTCGCCTGTCTGTCCCGCAGGAGTGGACGATGGTGGTGTACGCGCTGGCACGCATCCAAAATGACACCTCGCTTACGGAGATGGTGTTGCGGCTGCTGCCCAAACTCGACCGCCTGCCGCTGCCCTCGCTCATTCTCATCTCCTACTCCTGCGGCTGTATGGGCCCCAGCCCCATGGGACGGCAGCTAGTCAGTCGCTGCCTGGCTTTGCTCGCCGCGGGAGGAGCTGCGTCTCCTGCAGGCGACCGCGTCACGGCTGCGACACCGGGAGAGGCGACGAGAAGACCGCGTGGCAGTAGCACGGGCCGGGGGTTTGGGGCTGCGGTCACAAGAGCGCCGGTGGTGGCGTCGGCCGACGGTACCGCGACGGTCCAACCGCAGCGGAGCGCCGGCAGCGGGGCGGCAGCGGCGGCGGCGGCGCCAGATGCGGGTCTGGCAGCGCGGCCCGTGGCGGTGTCGTCGCTGACCCCTGCAGAGCTGAGTGCGCTGCTGTGGTCGGCCGTCCGTGTGGGCGTCAAGGTGATGCCGCGGGACTTCCTCGACCAGTTCTTCAGGTACGCTGCGGAGTTGTGTGGGCAGAAGAACCATCCGAGGTCTTTCGAAAATCTGCCTGTCGCGGATCGCCGTTTGCGTTGCGACGCCTGTACTGGCATATGCGTTCACGTCATGAGACGCGTGCAGCTTGTATTCTAGGGCACTCTCCACGTCTATGTCTCCACTGTGAACCCTGAATGCAATTCGTCTTCCCTTCCCCCGTCTTACATGTTGTTCGTGGTTCGTGGTTCTTTATCTTTTGCGCGTATCGTTTTGTTATGTTGTTTCTTTGCCAGCTGTGATTTTCTTTCCTTCTGGACTGTCCCTTCCTTTGCAGTTGCACGGAACCGCTGCTTGAGGAGCTGCCCGCCAGCCTGTTGGCCGCCTACCTGTGGGCGGGCGGCCGGCTGAAGATGTGGCTGCCGTCCAGGTGGCGGCAGCTGCTGTTGAGGCGTGTAGAGGCACAACTCTCGGAGATGCGCACCCGGGAACTGGCCATGTGCATGGCGGGGCTGCTGTGGCTGAGGTGAGGCAGGGGCCTTTTGGATTTTCAGTTCCGCCCGCCTGGTTAGCCACCTGGCTTGCTGGTACGAGTATAATTTTACATGTTTGTGCAGGCCTTGTTTAGATTGGAAAGGGAGAAGTTTCGGGAAGCACGTGCTTTGTCCTGTCATACGGGATTACGGGACGAATGGGTCCCTGGCGGGGGATGACCACCACACCAGGCGCTGAAGGGACCTTGTTGCAGGAGCCTGTGGACAGCCCGCGCTTACAGGCAGTCGTTCGTAGTCCGAACAGCCTTGTCGTCATGTCATTCCCGCATCACGCCACTCAGCATTTGCCCACGCTGCCATGCAGGATGTGGCCCACGGGCTCGCTGTTGCGGAAGCTGCGCGGCTGCTACGAGGCCCAGCGCGACGAGATGCCGGAGCGTGTACGGAAACACGCCGACACAGCACTGGCAGTCCTGACCAAGCGGCTTGCACTGGCGCAGTACCGGGAGCGCAAGTATGGCTGCAGCCGGACCACGCGGCTGCGCTGGCTGGCCCGCGTGTGGCGAGGGAACTTGCAGGCTGTCGCTGAGGGAAACACCGGGTACCAGGGCAGTCGCGCGGCAGCGGCACCACCTGCGGGCTACGTGTCCCGGCGCCGTGCGCTGCAGCTGGGCGTACTGAGGAGGTCAGCCCAGCGCGGCAAAGGCACCGGCCTGGCTGATAAGAGCGCGAGTGGGCAGCCGGCAGGAGAGAAGTAGGGGATGTGCGGCGAGGGGATGACTGTTGGAATGTTGTTTTCGTGGTGGGACGAGAGAAAGCAGAGGAAAAACGCGTTCGAAAGGAAACGAGGTGGGACATTTTGGTAGGGCGTCATGCTTAGCCGGTCCTTAGTCGGGCTTGGCTTAGTTTACAAAAGAGTTTGATCTGAAGACCAAGCTGCAATGTGATGTTGGCGTGTTGCACTTTAGAGAGTCTCGCAGCGTTGTGAGAGAGTATCAGTGTGAATATGAGTTGTGAGTGTTGCACGCAGTGAGCCCGTTCGTTGTCAGTGTAGAGCAGGATTTGCTTTCCCTTTTAAGGTTGTTTGCCGCAACCCGTTAGAAGCCATGGCTGTTTTCTCTGAAAAGGATTTGATTGATGCTTTCGTTTCATGTGTTCACATCTGCCAAGCGAATGTTTACTTTGCAGGTATAACCTGTGAATAAATGACGGGGGGCAGTTCTGTGCCCATATGCTTACCCTACCACAGTAATGAACGCCGAACTGGCAGCAGGCGGGAAGTGGGGGAGAATGCAACACAATCGAAACAAATAGTGCTTATTCAGAGGGAAGTTGGGTAGAGGGAATTTTGAGGGTAAGGTCACTGGACAGCCAACTTTGTCTAGCGCAATGGGGGGGTTGGGTAAGGGAGCCGTGGCAAGCAAACGGCAAGCGCGCAACTGGAGCTGCACATCTGAAGCTTTAAGAGGGAATGCGCGAATGCGCTGCCCGTGTGCATTACAGCAGAAGGGTTGATGCGGGTTGAGCGTGTGCGGTTGAGGGCCGGCAAGTTTTTTCATGGAATCGTTTTCAGACCGGCATCAACCAACCAACCATGTTGCAACCAGGTATCGGATTGCTTTTGTCCACCTGCCCCCGTCACGGTGGGCGCCGCGGTCCCGCAGGTCCGTTCCACACCCCCACACAGTCCGGTCCCCACACCATGCCAAATTGCATGACGCAAGCGGCGCAAGAGCACAACCTTCTTGTGCAAATTCTTAAACACGATCTTTGCTAAGTATAAGCTTTAGCCAACACAACGACCAACCTGTCCCTTGAAAGCACGTGTATTGCATTTTTTAACATGAACAAACAACCTTTAGATCGAGCAGTCTTGTTAAGAAAACCCGCTGCATAACAGGTATGACATCGTCAGCCTCATGCACGTGGCGCTTCATGCAAGCACGCACGCATAAGAGAGAGGAGGACACGCGAGGTCCCAGAACCCTGTACTGCATACTGTCGCTTTACCTCACAACAGACACGCCTTCCATAAGACTTTTACCTCGTAACGGGCGCCTAAAGGGAATACACACGCGGGTAGCAGTGTGCACGAATTCTTTCATGTGTACGATGTATGCAACCTGTCGTGCATCGCGAGCGCATCTGCCTATCTCTTTCCACCACACAAAGCCTAGTGCCTGCATGCCGAGGAGGTCAAGGCAGGTGTATCAAGGAAGGATGCTTTCACCCCGAAGAGCTGGCGGCCTGGGTAGCCGATTGCCTGCGAACTCATGTTGTCTGTCCATCACGCAAGAGGCCAGGACGGATACTGACCTGTTACCAGAGATGACATCAGGACATGGCTGATCATACTATAAACCCATTCGTCGCGACGGAAGGGTGCGTGTATGTGTGTGTATATATATTACAAGACGCTGGTCGCAAAAGCGCGCAGCGCGGTAATTGGCCACCTTAACCGACCGAAGAGAGTCCCCAGGTGGTGAAGCCCTGTGACTGCGCAAGTCAACCATAGAACGTCTAAAGCCCCTAAGGGGGACTGTGGGTCACGAAGACAGCTTACCGTAGATATTGGCACATGTAGCAAACGTTCATACTAAATGCCCGCATGAGGGCATGAGGGCATGAGGGCTCGCCCCAATCAGCTTTCACGTCACACGCCGATGCCTCTGACCTGCCCGCCAAACGTGCGGGTGCACGCGGCGCCTATGAGCCCTCCCTCTGCTAGGAATCCCTCAGCATCAACCAACGGATCTCCTGATTTGCGCACCAACCCCGCCCCAATCGCCAGCCAATCGGCAGCCAGACATCCCAACGCAACACCCTACAGCCAAACCTCCTGGATGCTTCGGTCTAGGAATTGCCGACGGACAACACGCCGATAGGCACTGATGTCTTCTTCTCCTCCGCTGCCTCCACTAGACGGCCAGAGCACGTCGTCGACGGACTATTCACCCCTCGTGTTAAGCCATCTGCTAGTCACATCCTGTTTGACCGGCTAAGCAGCCGCTGGTCGGGGCCATTCCCTTTGTTATCGGTTCTCCTTGGGCTGGCTGGCTACACCGCCGGACGGACTGACGGACTGGCCGCCCGCCCCCGGCAGTCAGCGGGTTCGTAACACACGCGCTGAGGAGCGGCAATACTGCACACCCGACTTCCACGTCCCTGCCTCCCGACCCACACCCTCCGATCCACTTCCCTGCAGGACGACCCCCAAGCTCAGCAGCCACACCGTCACCACCACTTAAAAACACAAACCGCACGGGAGGACACACGGATGGTACCATACCATATCGCTTGCGGGACATGCAGCTCCCCTACTGCACCCTCACCACCATATGTTACACATCAGTAGTGGCACCGGACTCGCTCTCCTCACACCCGCCTACCACCACCTTGACTAAGGTGGACATGAGCTCCACCACCCACATACATACATACCCCTAGGCCTGACTTCTGCTCCCAATCGATCCAGTCGACCCGGGTTCAAATCCGCCTGCCAGCTCCTCGGGTGTTTGAGGAGTGATGAAATGGGAGGTGGCCCCCCATCATATGGACGGTGTAGGACGTGATAATATCAACTTGCGAGCTGACCAGGAACTAAGTTGATGCGCCGTTGATCCGCTAGATTTGGTTGGATGCTGGTGGTGAGTTGCCGAACCCAACGAATACATTCTGAAGTCGGATGGGGTGACGGATTAGGGTGCCCCTCTAGCAGGGGAGAGCAGGGACTGCCCCGGGAAAGGGGGCCGCTGGCGAAGTTAACCACCCTGTAACAACATACATACATACCGGCGTTTGTGCGTTCAGTCACGCACCCATCCATTCAATCACCTATCGCAACACCCATCTATCACACCACGCTGCCCAACGCGACCTCCACCCCCGTGCCAGTCAATTCAGCCACCCATGGCCAACGCGATGACGGCGGTGGTCACCTCGTCGAACTTGTCCTGCGCCTCCTGGTGCGCCTCCTGGGCGGCCTGAAGGTCCCCGGCTGCCTCTCGTAAATTGCCGGCCGCCGCATCTGCGCCTGCCTGCTGCAACGAAGATCCAGAGCGCTGTAGCGCCGCCGCGATGGGGTTGTTCTCCTGCAGATCCTTAAGGAGGGCGCGAACCGTCCGGATTTGCTCGAGCTGCGTCTCCAGCATCTGAATAAATCGACCTGTGGGTGAGCGAAAGCGCGCACGCGCGCGTGTATTTCTTCATTTCATGTCTGTGGATGCGGCCCGGGTACGTAAGGGCTGGAGGATGGACGTGTCTGTAAGCGTAAGTAGGTGCGCGAAGATTATAGGTGCATGGAGGCCGGGTGAACGGCGAAGGTCGTGACGCTTAACAGCTATTTCGGAAAGCTTGGGGGGGTATGGGGGACACCGCCAGCTCCTGCGATATGGTGCTTAGTGCTCTTCTCCATTGGCCAGGCGTCTGGAGGCGCCTCCCAGGCTTTTTTAACCGTCCTGAAGGCAGTCTAGCTAGGCAGCAAGCCGGTATGACCGGCCTACCATAGGTCCCTGTGCCAAGAACGTGAGGGTGGGCGCACAAGGACGCTCATCATCCGTGCAAAGCAGCACTCACGCGTGTGTTTCTCACACGCCCGCCGGGGGCTCTTACCCGAGCGGATCCTCTCCCGCAAGGCGTTAACGCTGGCCAGCACGTTGGTTAGTTCGTCCAGGAACAGGCCCTGAAAATTATCCTGGAGGTCCTGTGGTGTCAACGGTGCGGGTGCGGGTGCGGGTGAGGGTGCCGTGCGGGACGGGGGATGGCGTCGGCGCGTGAAAATCAAAGCTAATATTGCTTTACGCGTACGTACGCGTGTGTGTTATGAGGCCATATGTGCATACGCGCACGGTAGGTATCCATGCACGTATGCGCGCATGCGCGTATTGGAGTAAAATTCGCCTCGCATGTGTGTTGTACACTACATGTACGTGTCCGTACGCGTGCGTACGGACCCCCGAGGTTTCACAGTCGGGTCCGCACCTTAGGGATCCGCACGGGTACGGCACACATGCGGGGCGTGGCACACGTCCCCTTCCATGTCTACCTGAAGGAACGAGACGGCCTGGACCTCCAGATTGAACAATCCGAAGAAAAGGTTGGGGATGGCCGGTACGAGCGACAGGGCCACGGATGCCGTACTTAAAGCACCTGGCACGGCAATATCCAAGTACGGCACACATGAACCACAAAGATTCGCAGCTTAAAGTGTGTTGCGGAAGCGTGTATCGAGGGCAAGCGACAGGAGGGGCCCCTGCCAGGTGAGGCTCTTCCGTTACTCCTCGTCCAAATTGGATTCGGCTGTTTACGTTGCCATGCGTCCTGTCGTTCGCTATATATGGCTGATTTGCTGCTGGCATATGGCATTCCGTGCTGTCTGGCGGCCCCACCACCCTTACAGCCATACATCAATACATGTAGCAGCTCTAGACCTCAAACCAATGCCCAGTGCCAACCTGAAACGGTGTAAACAGTCCCACTCGCCAAATTGAAGGCAGCCGAGGTGATGGCTGCGGAGTTGACATTAGCCTGGATGGAAGAGGCAGGAGGGCCGTGCGGGTGTGTGGCTTAACATTGCAGGGCAGAGCAACGAAGCCGGCTTGAAGGATTGCATTGAAGAAAAACGTTGGTAGAAAAAAACGGCTCATCTGGACAGCTGATCATGGTTAGATTTGTAGCGCGCACATGCATTTACATGCACAAATACATACCAACCCCTGCCTATGCATACGCGCATGAACATCCATACGGGGAAACCGGACACACGCGGCGTTAAGGGTATGTTGCCGCTGCTAAGCTGCATCACAAATGCACGGATGATGTACGACCCACCCACCCACAGGTCTGCATACCTTACAAAACTAATCAGGTACGCAACCAGGCAACCAATTAGCCGACAAGCCAACCAACCTACCAACCAACCAACCAACCAACCAACCAACCAATCACCCAGCAGCTCGGCCTGCCAGCTCGCTGCCCAGCCACCAAGCCTGACACTCACCGAGATGGTATCCAGGAACTTTTGGAACTCGTCCCCTGTGAGTGGCTCTGTGGACTTACGTAGCGAGTCAGGGTCAAAGTCTAAGGAACCACCCCGGGGACCTCCTACTGGGCCGACTCGGCCGCCACGGAACGCCCCAAGGCTGCCGAGGCCGCCGAAGCCGCCGCTATTACGGAAGCCCCCGAAGCCGAAGAAAGGCCCGCCACCACTGCCGCCGACGCCGACGCCGCTGCTGCCGCCGTCGGTGGCATGGCCGGAACCGCTGCGGCGGAAGCCGCCGCCGCTGCCGCGAACGTCACCACCGAAGATGAGCGGGTCCGTGAACTGCCGCAAGTGGTCCATGGCGCCTTGGAGGGTCAGGCGCCTCGTTGGAGGAGCACCCGGCTCCTTGTTGTTGTGGATATTGTTACCGTTCTCGTTGTTACCGTTATTACCGTTGTTTTTCTTGCTGGAACCGGGGGGGCTCATGTTGGCCAGGAGGTTGTCAAAAAGGTCGAAGCTGAACTGCTGGGAGCACTGCGGGCCCCGGCGGGGCGGCACGTGGGCACGTGAGCGGGGTCAGAGCTCGTGGCGGGGCGGCAACGAACGCGGAAAGAAGGTCTTTAATGATGGTGGTAATGGTTTGAATAAGTGGATGTTGCATTGCGTACGGATAGAGACTGCTGGGAGGAAAACAGTTGTGGAGGGCCGTGTTGGTGACCTATTGGGGGGCTGCTGCGGGCTGGCGTCTCTGTAATTTGTAAGTCACAGCATTCCCACCCAAGCATCCTAAGACACGGCAACGACCTGCAAGCATTCCTTATCCATACGATAACGGTGCATCACAACCCCGCGCAGCTGCCAAGTAAACACTTGTAGCACACAGCGGGGTGTTGTGCGACGCACAGAGCTGCACCGCACCGCGGGCAGGGGACGCAGGAGTAGCAGCAATATTGCGAAGGCGAAGCCATAGCTTGCGTAGAGAGGCCGTCGGCCGCCTAATCGATGACCGTCGCGGTCCGTCATCTGGAAATCTCTACCTCCCGTCTCTCGCTCGTGTGCTGGTTGGTGCCTTGGCTTGCTGGTCCTCTCCAGACCGCCGACACTAAGTTATACCTCTTTGAGAAGTTATAATTAGTGTTAAGGCTAATATTTGGGGAGAATCCTTATTGCACTATTGTCAAGACGATTTGGAATTTTCGACGATATCGCTCGTCCCGTCGAACGATGTGGCCCTTCCCCTTATGTGCGACCAGGTGCGACGTCACGCGGAGCTATGCGGGGACCCCAATGCGTGCCAACCAATCAACTAAGTATGATTAAATTCCACCGGAATTTTTTTAGTATTTTTTATTTAACCCTTCGGCAGTTCAGTAAAGAATGCAGCGTTCGCGTAGCTTGATTACTTTCGTTAATTGGAACGACTTCACGATAACGGTGTTGCGTGCGAGATAAAGTCTGTCACAAGCTGTTTTGAAGCTCTCGGACGGGCCAACACGGGGGCCAGCGCTCACGTGATTTGCTTCAGTAAGACCCCGTGCGTGGCTGTGAAGCATTCGCCGGTGAACCTCCGTGCCCCACGTGACCCCCTCCTCATGGACGAGCCGATGTAGTCGTGGTCGTGAAGTATGTTGACGGGCGACCGTTGGCCCCAAGCCCCCGATCGCATCGGCCGGGCCAAGCAAAGGGAAGATCACACACGAGGAGGGAGCAGTGCCGTCAAATCGATGCATTTATGTATCTGCACTGATATCCTTTTACTTAGGACACAGTCCTAAAAATAATTCTGCATTAACCTTCCTGCTGTTGGTTAGAGTTGGTCGAGCAGCTGCGCTGTCGTTTCATCAATTCCCCGAAAGGCTCCTACTTCCAATTGCGTTTCCAGCACATCAACGGGTCATAGATCTCGTAGATATCAATTTTAACGTTAAAAAATATTCTTTAAAAGCGAAGTAAGACAGTACTAGTCTTCTTCGGTACTGTGACCTGGTGAAACCCAGGGCGACATAAGACCTCCGGCCCAGAGGCCATGCCGACCTCCGCCACCGACACGGCCATATTGGCGGTTCTCATGTTGCTGCTGACACCTCATGCGGTATGTCGATATACGCAGGTATATGTCGATATACGTCCCTTCTTAAGGGCTCTTACTGCGGTACTTGAGTTCTTCGGTAGCTGAGGTTTGCGCGTGTTTAACCGCATGATGGTGGCCTCAAATCGCTAAGTGGGCTGGTAACATGCATGAGCGGACGCATACATGGAAGCCAACCCCCACAAATCAACACGAACCAGTCAGCAATGGTCCCTCACTGGGCACACGGGATTGCCCGGGTGTGCCCAGTTGCTGCTGTTTCGCGTATTTGAGCCGCACGCTTGTCACGTACGTGATCGCAACACACCACGAGGGACACACCACGCTCCCTCTGCCTCACTCACAACTTCTCGCTTCTTGAGAAGGCAGATAGCAGCTGCCGTACCCTGCGCATGCTGTATCACCTGCCCGCCGCGGCTAGCTCCTACCCCCGGGAGTGCGGACTCAACCTCCCCCCTTCTCTCCCCCTCCCCTCTCCCTTAAAACACCCTCCTCCCAGGCTGTCGTACGGGCCCAGATCCTGGACATGACTGCGCCACCAAAAGGATCTGCAGCACCATCAGCAGTAGCGGCAGGTCTTGATGCTCGTAGCCACAATAGCGCTGCCGCAACTAGCCCCGGTGGCGGCACAGGCAGCGGCGGCACCTCCGCCTCCGCCGACAACGGCAACAGCAAAGCCAGTTTCGTAAATCTCGTAGATGCCATAAACGCAGCCGGCGGCAACATTGCCAACGTAGTTGGCATATTCCGCCCCAGCCCCTCCAACATGACCGCCGCCGCCAGGTCCATGGCGCAGACAGGTTGGGATGGCTTGAAAGGCGGAGATGGCGGCGGCGGGGAAGGCGGTGGCGGGGAAGCTGGTGGGGGTGGGGGCGGCGGTGATGGTGGAGGCGAAGGTGGCGGTAATGGTGGAGGTGAATCTGAAGGGGCCCCGGAGCCCGAGACTCTGGCGGGGCAGAAGGTCCAGACACTGGCGGAGTCGCAGCAGAAGATTGAGGAGGCGCGACAACAGAAACAGCAAGCTCGGGGTGCGTTTCAGGCCCATCCATCCATGGTTTGTGGCCTTTCGCTGCGTTTTATTCCTTTCCTTCCTCTCCTTCCTTTCCGACGTGTGCATGTACCTGTGCCAGCTCGTGCGGGCAGCAGGAACTGGGATATGGAAAGACCAGGTGGTGTACGACCGGTCGGTTCCATATGTCGGTGTTTTTTCTCATTATTTTGGTTACTATCTGTAATTGGGATGGGGTGCCTTCGACCTCTCCAGGCCTGCACTCCAGTTCCGATTTCCCGGGTGCACCTGAGTAATCCTGAATTGTCTCGGGTCCCCTCCTCATACCACTTGCACTTGCAACTCCCCTCATCTCACGGGGCCCATTTGCAATGCCACGGGGCCTCGCCACTCGGCATTGTACCGCGATCGACACCATTACTGCAGCCCCTGGCGTTGGCGCACTCTCCTCTGCGGCCATGGCATCTTGTCTACTCCATAATAATTTTTGCCACACAATTCATATGGTTTGTACGACTACATGGCCTACAAGTATGAACGTTTTGTCGTACAGAGGACGCCGCCGGCAAGGTGCCGGATAGGATCCGTACGGGACTCAACGAGACGGAGTTTGCGATTTTCCTGGCGGACTTCCGAGCCAATTTCGGATCCGGTGAGCCCGTTGAATGAGGAGAAGAGATGCACAATATGGAACCACAGTGGGAATGTGTGTGTGTGTGTGTGTTACACCCCGGTTGCACAAAGGGCTAAAATGCGGGTGGGCTGAAGAGACACCCGCAGCCGAGAAGTGTACAGAGGCTCTGGCACACGTGGCAGTGATGCACGGGGAACAGAACGAATTAGCCGGCATGTTGCAGGTATGCATTGTAAGTATGTATTGTGTCGTATGTGTGTATATGTATGGACGTGTGCGGCGTTTTGTCCCCGCACATACTACAAAGAGGAAATTGGTGTTGCCTTAAACCGGACAACCGGTACCGATGCACTCGCATTCGGACACACGTGTCTTTCCGCTGCGACTCGACATTTCTTAAAGCCTCCTAGCTAGATGCAAATACACAGCTTATCATCAGCCCCACCACCAACCCCATCGCCATGCCTCAGGCAAGAACATCGAGAGCCTCCGGGCCCTATACCAGGAGACAGACGTGTACAAGGCCAAGGATTTAGCCACCAAGGTCTACAATACGCTCAATTCAGCGGCACAGCTGGGTATCGCCGCACTGCAGGTGCTCGTGTGTGTGTGTGGTGGGGGGATAATCGTGGTTGGATGGTAATGGTTAGGCTGGCGTGTATGGGGAGACACGGCCAGTCATGGAAGGGCGGATCAGGAGGCTTGGCCCTGGTAGTTGCATGACCGGGGTTGCCAGCTCAATGTCGCCTGTGTATTACCGGGCGTGTTGTGGAGCCACCGTGCTGCTGGGACGGGTGTTACTGTGCTTATGCTCTTGTGTGTTTGTGTGTTTGTGTGTTTGTGTGTTTGTGTGTTTGTGTGTTTGTGTGTTTGTGTGTTTGTGTGTTTGTGTGTTTGTGTGTTTGTGTGTTTGTGTGTTTGTGTGTTTGTGTGTTTGTGTGTTTGTGTGTTTGTGTGTTTGTGTGTTTGTGTGTTTGTGTGGCTGTGTGTTTGTGTGGCTGTGTGTTTGTGTGTTTGTGTGTTTGTGTGTTTGTGTGGCTGTGTGGCTGTGTGGCTGTGTGGCTGTGTGGCTGTGTGGCTGTGTGGCTGTGTGGCTGTGTGGCTGTGTGGCTGTGTGGCTGTGTGGCTGTGTGGCTGTGTGGCTGTGTGGCTGTGTGGCTGTGTGGCTGTGTGGCTGTGTGGCTGTGTGGCTGTGTGGCTGTGTGGCTGTGTGGCTGTGTGGCTGTGTGGCTGTGTGGCTGTGTGGCTGTGTGGCTGTGTGGCTGTGTGGCTGTGTGGCTGTGTGGCTGTGTGGCTGCGCTTGCGCTTGCGCTGGTGCTGGTGCTGACGCTTATGCTGGTGGTTAGTCGGATGGCGTAGTGATTTGGCGCTATTGATCCTAAGCAGCTCTATCGCAATCTGTTATCCGGTCGCGCGGTGTACATGCGTTGTCACACATACTGACATACAAACAACGCTCACGCCAAAACGCAATTTAGCGACTTCTGTATATGACCAGCTGAGCGAGCTGTGAGGTAGTGCACAGAAGCCGCTGCCCCCAGAGCTGCCCGCACACACCACATCTGCCCCTGCTGTTCCCTCCGGCCGCAGTCTGCCGTACCCCACCTAGGGCCCCTTTCCTGGCCGCGGGCCAGCCCGCCCTCCCCCTCCAAAACCCCCCTTTGCACACCTTGAGGGTAACTGTCGAACTGCTGGCGAGCTGGGGAGCCCCGCGTTTCCATGAGTGGCTAGAAACACACAAGGTGTTTCCCACAACGGGGTAACACGACCCAGGATGGGTTAGAGCCATATCGAACTCGCTTGTCCGTCCGCCACCACCCGACAGCTGACGAGCCCAACCCCATTTCCGCTGGACCATGCACCGCCCAGGCGGGTCCCTTCGCCCTGATTGGGCTCATCGTGATCGCGCTGGGCCTCGCGTCTTCCATCACCTCCCTCGTGGCGGGTATCCTCTACGCGGCCGGAAGTGCAGTGGGACTGTACGCCGACATCGACACCGCGATCAGCAGTGAGTGCAGTGCGGCCGCCAGCAGCAAGCGACGGCATGCCATCACGTGACGGCGGTGGTGGCGGCGGCGGTGGCGATGGTGGTGGCCGCAACGGCGGAGCTGGCGGCGGTGGCGGCGCCGGCGGAGCTGGTGGCGGCGGAGCTGGCGGCGGCGGAGCTGGCGGCGGTGGAGCTGGCGGCGGCGGAGCTGGTGGCGGTGGCGGTGGCGGCGGCGGTGATATGAGGAGCGGCAGTAACAAGCAGGAGAAAAAGCCCGCCATAAAGTAAGTGTTTGCCGTAGGTACGTAGCATGAATGCTTGCTCTTACTCTACTACCGTACAGTCAGCCGCTCTTGGCTTTAGCTTCGCTGCGTCGTAGCAAACATAGCACAGGGCCACAAGCTGTGCGGTGGCAGCCGTGATGCATAGTGCATGATGCATGGAGCGCATGCATGCATGCATGAATGAATGTACGTATGCATGCATGGAAATATGTACGTGTCTAAATCCTAAGCATTATCTGTGCCCTGCGTGGCCGGTTGCCTGACGCGGATGCGGCCATCGCAGCTGCTTCGACGTCCAGAAGAAGGCTGCTAAGGGTTGGATGTACAACACGGCGAAGTACGCCAACGACTTGAACAAGTGAGCCTGTCCGATGTCGTAAATCCAGCGCGTCGAGTTGTACTTTGCTCGGCCTGTCTTTCACACGAAGGCTTGTTGCGCAGGGAAAGTGCTATGTGTTGTATGTTGGGTGCTCCATGTGTGTATGGAAGCCTGCCATAGCTATAGGTACGCGTGCCAACCATAGCTAAAACCCGGTCTGATGAAGATGATGGCGTGAAGGCGGTGCGCGTGTCTGGATCTGCGCCGGGTAGTGGGGCTACGGGGCTGCGGTGTCTGTCAGGGGCTGCCTAGGGCAAGGCCTCCATAGGTTCGCGCGTTGTACAGCAAATGCAAGCGGCGAGATGACCGGAGCGCGGGGGCACAGGTGTGGGGGGGGCGTCCCCGTCTGCTCGCTCCTTGCCTACCGTTTCCTGTTCCCGGCTATGCCGCACAGCACACAACGCCTCGGGCTGCCGGGGGAAAAGTTGTAAAAGCTGGGAACTGGCTTCAAAACTGCGGGGTTGGCATTTACAGGGCTCGTTCGTTCGGGCATCCTGGCCCATCACATCGCCCAAGGCCGTGTACTTGCATGTGCAGTCACAGGTTTTGTGCTCACATGATGCACATCCACTTCCGCCACCACACCCACTCGCACACTCACACGCACTCACACACACGAGCGGCCCGACGCCTGCACGGCCCCCATGCAGGTATTTGATGCCGTACGTTTTCCGCGGCGGCGCTGACGGGCTGTTGGCCATCACCGAGGGCATCTTGCGGAGTACCATCAACTTGGCTCGGATGGTCCAATCAGCAACCTAGCTGGCAGCCCCACCTAAGCCTACTACATAGCTGGTCAACGATGTTGGTGCGCGTGTTTCCGTACCTTCGTTACGGTAGCAGTCGCGCGCGTGTGAACCGCCGTACAAATAACTTCCGCCATGCAAAGAATACATGGACCTCATTGTTTGAGCCGTATTAAAAGCCGCGCCGTGCGTGCGCGCGCGCATGGTCAAATGCTCGGTTGTGGTACGGTGTACGGTAACACCGCCGGTTTACACTAATGTATCCACCGAAGAAGGCTTACCGTGATCAGCTGCTCGCGTGCGCGTGCTGATTGTCATGTGACTGTGTGTGATTGATTCGCGAATACTTGGGCTTTTTCTGTATTAGTGATGTATTCGTCGTGCGTCACACGGGCAGAGCAGTACTGCGTTTACCATCTGGCGCTTCCGTGAACCCCCGGTGACCTGAACGGGCGCTTCCGTTCCACAATGACGACGCAATGAGCGTTGACCTGAGCGTGAAGCAATGGAACCCATGGATCTCGACCTATGATTGTGTCGGATACACTACAGAAACGAGCTTCCGCCCTGTGTGGACGCGGGGCAAAGTGGACGGGTTCTTCGGGGTTTATTGCAAACAGCGTTTCCAGAGGCCTCCAGAAGTATTCCTCGTGCCACCAGCTGTGCAACACTTTCCGTTTACTGGCCGCAGTCTTTGCCTTTACTAGCACCACGCAAGGGTAACCGGTTCTCTGCCAGTTATAAATGTAGGGGGTACTGCTCTCAGCCAAAAGGTAATGCGTGAGTACCGGCACTGGAATTCATGAATGCTGGATAGGGCCTTGGTGGACAGCGGGTTTAGGGCTGCGGATGGATAGGAAGGTTATGGCGGGTGGGCGGTCATGGGGCACCACGCGGAGGGACGCACAACCTTGTGAGAGTTGGATAGATGCGTGCGTGCTGGAAGTTACCGGAAGCTTCTGGAAGCTTCCGTCCCCGTGGGTTAGCCGTCATCTGACCCAGTTGTGGCAGTGTAGGGTGCGAGGTGGATTGACGGTGCGGGGCAGTAGGGACAAAACCTGTCTGAGTATGTCTAGTAGTATGTCTGTTTCACGGGCATGGAAGGGGAAGGGTGGCACGGGCTGTGACAGGCTATGCCGGCGCAAGCAGAATAGGATAGAGTAGTTGTGACTTGGGAGTGAGGATCGTGGTGTTGGATCTGTGAGGTATGCATTCTCAAACAAGATCTACCATGAATTACGACATCAAGTTGTTACGAGAGGAGCTTTCGAGCCCATAGTAGAGCAGTCTAGTTCTAACACGGGAAGCGTTTCAAGTGAAACGATGAAGCCAAATGTGTTTTTATGAAATACAACAAAGAACATGTCGTCAATATGCATCTGTGGACAGTGATTTGCCCTCGCCCAGAGGCTGTCATTTAAAACAAGGCTATGGTTGGTTATCTGTCAACGGAATGCTGTAGCGGGCACTGCCTTGGCAAAGGTCAACAGCGATCAGCGAGTTGGTGCAGTAGTGCATGATATGACTTGAGATTTCGGCGTGGGCATTTGGGTATTCATTGACGCTTGTTGCGCAAGTTTGGTAGATAAGATAGCTAGGCTGGCTACTGCCTTGCCCAGCTTACAGCAACAACACAGTGGATCTCACGTAGAAACCTAGGATTAAATTATACGCTGCATGAGATAAACCCCAAAAGGGAAAGCAACATGCTGCAACAAGCCACAATGTGCAGTACGGTGTCGTTACTACAGGCATAACGCACTATCAATTGCGTTTTAAGCAGAAGAAAACTTGTAAAGATAAAAGGTCAACCACACGTACCTGGCGAAAGGATTCTTTCCTAAGTTTTATAATTGCAAAATCCAACAGTGGCCTTTGCGACAGTTCTTGCATCCAAGCTAGCGCAATGCCTGGAATGCTTCCTTCTACATCTACAGGAATGGTGAGATCACTTGAGGACTTTAAGCCCCGTCATAGCGGAGCAGGAAGTGACGACCCAACCAAACTGCTTGCAGGAGTGGGCTGCTCATCTTGGGCTTCCTCCGGTCCGAGCTTTGCCACCATCATTCGGCTCACCGTGCGCAGTAAGTTTCTAAGGATTTACATACCTTGCCTCACCTTCATACGTGGCAAAAATGCTGAACCCATTTGCATAGGGAGCGCCCACCACAGGACGCCTACACAATCAAAAGCGCCGCACCTAATAAAAATATATAACGAACTCACCATCATGGCTGCAGGCGCCACCCTGCCCTCGCTTCGTCCGACGCGACCCATTCGCGGGTCACACGTCCATCTTCAAGCCGCCTGTCCAGCAGCGTTTCAACCTTGTCGTTCCAACCTCGCTCATCGAGCGAAACTTTGACATGAACACTGTGCTGCAGCGCGGCCTGAAGGTCGTGTTCAAGCGACGCAGCTGCGACCCGTCACAACCGTCGGAAGCTCTGGCGGCAGTGTACGGCTACGTCAACCGGCACGTCAACCCCATCGGCCTCACATCGTACCGCGTTTCAGGGCAGCAGCCCGCCGGTGTGGGGTCCGGATGCTCTCTGCATGGATGGTCCGTGGAGGCGGGGTGCCTGGTTGTGGAGGTCGCTTCCCGGCATCAACAGCTGCTGCAACAACACTTTGGGGATGTGCAGGTACGCGAGCTGGTTTTCGCTTGCAGGGCTAAGAGGGGCATCTTTCGTGAGCAAACCGCCTTAGTGAGGGGGAGGGATGCTGCATGTGGCAACATGGTTGGTTGTTGTTGATTTAGCGACACATTGAAACAAGGTGCCAGCATATCACGCGACAAACCCCCAACATGTCGGTCCTTTGTGCACGTCTTACAACCCCAGCTGCGGCAAACTTAAGCGACGTTGCCTCGTCGACGCATCGCAGTTGCTTAATGTGTTGCGCATCCCAACCCCGTAGGGCGTTGGGTTTTCTTCCATCGTCCATGCTGTGCATGATGTGCACTCTCCTGCCGCCCTATGCACGCTCCAGCCGGGTTTTATCCGAGCATCTCTCCCTTCATAAATTCCTCCTCGGCCCCATGCAAACGTTCCCTGATGCACAGGACTCTACCCCAGCCCCAGCCAGGCGGCTTTTTGGCGACTGCCTGCCCTCTCCAGCCACTATTCGTAAGCAACGGCCGCAGCCAGAGGAGTTGCCGCAGCAGCGGCTGCACCACACAATGACGCACCAAGAGCAGGATCAGGGGGCCCAGCAGCTGCAACAGCTGGAGGGAAGTGGGATCCCGCCTCCGGAGGCGACGGTTGCAATATTGCCTCCGTCGGCGCAGGTGCCTGCCACAGATGCCAACCACTCAACGGGAGAACCGGACGCCGTGGGCACCAGCAGCCGCTGCCAGACGCAGGATTCCTCATCGTTGCAAACATCCGACTTCTTGTCAACCACCCAAGGCACTGCAGCACCCTTGCCGGTGGGTGACGCGGGCTCCTAGTGTTCCATGGCAGCAAATCCAAAGTTGGGGCTACCAAAACGCAGAAAATGCTCTACCCTCAGCTTGTGCTGTAGAGTTTTGCAGTCCGCTGATGATTTGCTCGTTCGCTTACTTTCTTCCATGAAAACAGGTAGCACAGAAGCCGTCCCGAGGGCCGCAGCGCGCTGGCAAGGTGGTGTCCAAAGGCCACGATACGGTTGCCACAGCTGTACTGGACCGGCGTCCCAAACGGCACCGGCGATGCCCTACCTGGTACAACACAGACGCTACAGAGGCCAAGACAACTTTCGCAGGGATAGACCTGTTGCTCGCGGCACATATGGAGCTTACGCAGCAAGAAGACGGCCGACCAAAGCGCGTCCGGCGGCCAAACAGCCTATTCATGCAATGATCCAGCTCGTGCAGGCGTCGGCTGAACAGGGCCGAAGCAGCCGAAGCAAATGTTGAAATGTGCGGCTTGCATTCGTTTGCATAGCATTGCTATCAAGCTACGGGCAAATGCATACCCCGCCACAAAGTTACGGCTTGGATGGCGGATGGGGCAATGAAACTCTTTCAATATGATTAACGCAGCATCGCTGCGAAATCAACGGTTTTGTCATGTCTCACACGTGCAGCAGGAATGCGGGTTTTATGTCAGGACATCCGACCAATTGTAACATAGTTGATAAATGGCCAACCCAGTTCCGCTGTGCGCCAAAAGTCTGCTATAATACCTTGTCATGTAAAATAGTACAACGAAAAACAATGTGTCTGTACACACGTTCGGCATCGCCTTTCCCCCAGGCCAAAATCCTGCAAGTCATATGTGGAAAAACAATCCCGCGAAGAAGGCCGGCATGTGGAGTGCCTGCATGCCCCCGCCCAAGATTGCGTTGAAAACGTCCAGGTTGGAAATCAACAAACACACGACTAGAATCCAAACGAGCTGACTTCCAACCACTATTCGCATGGAGCGCAACACCCTTCCTTCACGACTTCTACCGTAAAAGCTTGCACAGATTTGAAAGGTACCGCCCACGCGCTGCGTTTTAATACTACCCGCTTCCTCGACCCTCATCACGCGTCCTCATCCTGGCCGGCGTTGGGCCCAACGACTTTTGACAACTGTCGGACGTAAGAGAACACAAGTGTCCAGCATCCTTTCCTGGCCAAACCCCCTGCCTGACCGGAATTGCCTGTCCTGAAGACCCCACATCGAACCCTTCTCTGTACCGCCGCTCGCTCGCCAAGCCATGCCACGGATGCTTAGTCGAACGCCCATTGGTTCTCGCGGCGGACCTCCTCCTCCTCCTCCGGCGTGAAGTCGTTCTGCAGGCAGAGGCGACATACGGGACACGAGCAGCTTTGTCCTTCAACAGGTCAGCAGCGACAACCCATAACCGTGGCAAGATCTGCTGTAATGCGCTCGTTGAGAGAACGGAGTCTGTTGTGCGGTGGACATAGAGTAAGTTGGGGGAAGCTCCCATCCATGGCCCCTGTGTAAGTCTCGCTGCAAAATGGCATCCTGAGGATAGCATCCTAGGAGCTACTCCTTTCAACCCCAAAACCCTTCGCCGCATGCATCTTTGGATTGGCACTGCTAACACACTAGCCAGCACCGGGCGTACTTGCCCATCGGACTGACAGCCCCCTAACCTTGCCCATCGGACGGACAGCCCCCTAACCAAACTCCCCAAGGCTTGGAACCGATACTCCTATCTCACCTTGATGTTAAACGTCTTGCGAATTTCTTCTGGTGTTTTCCCCTTAATCATTTGCGCTACCGTTTGGCAGGTAAGGTCTAGAAGGCCCTTGATGTTAAGATAGTTCGCCGCCTGGAGATGGACACGGCCAGAATACATATCGTTACCCCTGTCACATTCCTTATGGAATGGAGTGAAAGGTTAAGCAAGCACTCCTCACCAAGATGAGGTCGAAAAGGGTAGCTTGGTCCACCTTCACAAACTCTTCGTCCCAGCGCTTCACTTCGTCTTCAGTCTTCATCGGCTTATCGTCTGCACCCTTCTTCTCGGCCTCTACGTGATATTTGCAATACTCGATAACCTTGGCAAGGATCCGGCCAGAAACATTTGGCAACGGAATGGCGTCGTCTGTACCAGCATCTTCTACCAAGTTCTTAACTGTCTGGGACTGAAAAGCAGCTTCTTCGTCGACCTCGAACATCTGCGTGTCCGAGCTCATAAGCTTCACCTTGCTTCCAGACATTTTCGAAGTAATCTTACGTTTAAAGCAATTGTTCAAGACCCAAAGAACCCTGCTTAAGGTATCAAAATGTGCTGGCTGCCGCCGGACGGAACCAACTTAAGCTGCCTTAATGGGCCCTGTGAAGTTTGTCAAGTCTGTGAATAGCGGGAGTATTTAAAATATATCAGAAACATATCAGACGATTAAAGAAGGCCACCTTCTTAAAATTACCTTGACTACTTGAACCTGTGGCGCCGGGGTCCATCTTTTATGCGCTATCATATCAGCAATGGTCAAGGGCAAGTCGATCACATGCGCTTTTGAAAACTGCGTTAATTGCATCCGAGGAAAGCATTCTGACCTGCATGCTTGATGACAGGACCAAAACAATGTTCTTCAATTTTCAACGCCCGAAACCGTTACCGAGTGCACTTGTCACAAAGGATAAATACGCCCAGAACCATGTTGTATGGTATAGTGGTATTCCTGCATGCGAACGATTGGCACTATCGCAGGTCCGCACTGTGCAATATAGGGTTTGTCCTATTGATTTGATTATTGCGGAACGACCGATTTGCTGATGCTCGCGTCATGTCAAATTGATTATTACATTCTATACAGCTTGCAGACAACATGGCTTCCCACGGATGATGTCAAACGCCGAAGCACATTTCAGCACGCCGTTTGTCTGCAGAGTGCATCCGTACACCTGTGGGGCATGGCTGAAATGGCGACAAGGTAAGTGTCATGCTCTATATCAACATTTATCTGCTGATTACACGCTATGTGATTTACGGTTAGCACCCAGTACAGCTTGTTGTAGTAAGCAGCAAACCTGGTCATAGAAGGGGTGGTACTCTCAACAAGAGATATGCCTGTTGTATTTTGAGGCTTTGCTTATGACGAAAGTTTGATGCGTTGTATAAACGAGCGAAGCAACCTTAATAACGCTCAAGATGCACTCCTGAACCCCTGCTGCGACGCCGCAAATTGACGGCTGGGCTTCTTCAATCGTCGACAAAATTCTTCATGGCAGACGCTAAACGGGTATGTGTTGTTTTCCTATTCCATGGGGGCTTCCGGTGCTTGCTTGTCGTGACTCTGAATGATAGGATTAACGCAAGATGATATCATTGCTGAAAATTGGATTCAGAGGGGGCGTCCGTTGCTTTCCTGCTTTCCCGCTGAGAATGCCTGAGTATTAACGGTAGGGTTTTGGCCTCCCAATGTCACCACGTAGGAAATTTCCGGGTTCTTCTTGTCAGCGGAAAAGTTTGCCTCCCACGTGACGGCATTGGCTAGCCCTGGCTGCGTCACGACTCACGTTCGGCTCTTCCATAATGAGCCCCAGCACACCGCAGCGGTCGTCGACGCGCTTAGCCGCAATACTTCCGTTACCAGTCTCGACATCTTTGAGCTGGATCCGGTTGCGGCCAGCGCTCTGGCGGACGTGCTCTCGGCCGCCTCGCCGCGCATTACTGGCCTCGCAGTGCACCATCCCCATGGCCTAGGAGCTGTCCAAAACCTTTGCCGCGGCATTGCGTCCAGCTGCAGCCTAACTAGCCTCCACCTCTCCCAGCTGGACTCAAAGGGCGTTGACGCCCTCGCAAACGCGCTCCTCGCTTGGTCCGATGAACACACGATGGGCTTCTTCCCACGTCTCCAGCACCTTCGACTGGAAAAATGCACCTTCTCGCCTGATGTGGCGGCTTCGCTCGCAAGTGCTTTGGGACGACAGGCGGGCTCTCTGGCGCAGCTGGAAGTCTTGGATTCAGCGCTGGGGGACACCGCGGCCGAGGCGCTGCTAGGGACCCAGCCTGGCTTGGCGCAGCTGCAAAGCCTGAACGCCCCGGAAATAGTAGCAGCTTCCACAGCAGTCTTGCACACATTGGACTTGCCCGCTTGCAACGTGGGACCGCGGGGTGCGTTGTTCGGCGTTGCGGTTGGAAAAGAGGGGGGGAGGGTTCCCATCTGAATCGAACAAGCAGCAGTCCGACTAGTGTTTTCTGTGCAAATATACTGACACCACGCCGTTCATAAAACGAGGATGGTATTGTGAAAAGGATCGCGACGCGACGCGGATAATGGCTTAGCGTTCCTTTGAAATACATGTTTGTCTGTTTCATGTGTTGTTTCCCCAGCGCTGCAATGACGTTGCTGACAACAACATACAAAGAGAGGCGGAGGCCAACAAGTCCCCCCCTGTCGCTGTTTTTTGCAAAGTGCCTGGTCCTCTCCCTCCCTCTGCCATTTCCTTACTCTGTTGACTCTGTTGAGTACATGTCCCTCCGTCCTATTGGACTGATATAATAATCAATTGACCCGTAACCCGTTATGAGAACGAAACCTGCGTGAATGCACCTACCTGCGTCCGCCGTTGTCTCTCTCTCTCTCTCTCTCACACTCCCCGGCTCGGGTCGGTCCACCGGGTCCCTTCCAGGTGCCGCCCAGCTGGGCCGCCTCCTGGCCGCAACACACAGCCTCCACTCCCTCAACCTCTCAAACAACAAGTCACTTGGATGTGAGGGTGTGCGCGCCTTGGCCGCCGGCTTAGCGGCTAACCGTACGCTTCTACGACTGGACATGTCGGGCAGTGGCATCGGCGCCACCGGCGTGAAGGACCTGGCGACGGCGCTCCGACCAGACGGGGGCGGTGGCGGCGGTCCGCCGTTACAGCAGCTGATGTTGGGTTTTAACGCCGCGGGTGCGACGGGGCTGGCGGCGTTGCTGGGAGCCATGTCCGGTCCACAGCCTTGCGCGCTCCGGAACCTCCAACTGGATCACAACCACGTGAGGGGAGTGGAGCTGACGGAGGCGCTGCAGGAGGCACTTGTGCCGCCGCCAGCGCAGGCGGCGACGGCAGCGGCGGCTCAGCCGCCGCCGCTGTCACGGCTGACGGCGCAGCTGAAGCAGCTGTCGCTTGCCGGCAATGCGCTGTACGACGTCGGCGTGGCAGCGCTGGCGGCGTTCTTGACGGAAGCGCCATCCTCCCTGGAGCTTCTGGACCTCCGTGAAAATGGCATCTCCGATGCGGGCGTGGCGGCGCTGCTGCCGCTCATCGCGCCGCGTTGCAACGGTAGCGCATCAGCACCCGTTTCAAGCTGTCGCGGTGGCGGAGCGCAGGTGCAGGCGGCGGCACCAATGGCTGCTGGTGCTGCTGGTCTCCAGGGTTTGTTGCTGGATGGTAACCGGCTGCACAACGCGGGTGCCAAGGTCTTGTTGGAGGCCGTCACCGCGGCCCCAGGCCTGTGGAAGTTCTCCGCGGAGGCCAACAAATTAACAGGTGGGCATGTCTGTGTACGTCTGTCTGTGTGTGTGTGTCCGTCTGTCTGTGTGTGTGTGTGTGTGTGTGTGTTTGCGAGCCACGCCTCTGTGGAGTGTGGGGCGTGATGTAAGCGAGGGCGTCCGTCTGGTTGTGTGTGCGTGTGGGTATGTAAGGGGCCGTGTTTTTCCCTCTGCCTACGTTTGCACATGCATGGGCCCGAAGGTTCCTGCCCGGACAGCGCCACGCTGTACATTCTTGTTACTCGTATGCATAGAGGGTGTGCGTGAGGATATGGACGAGCCTCGAGGGGGAGGAAACGGGCGGGTGCGCTACTCCTACCTACCTTTCTGACCCCCTTACCCCTTTCCCCTTCTCGCCCCTCTCCCCTCTTTTGTGCCCTCCGCGACTCCTCCATGCGACGACAACGATTGGAATGTGGGTTTCCTTGGCTGGCCCCGGACTGGCCCCGGACTGCCCCCGGACTGCCCGCGAATCCGAACAATGATATCTACAGACCCGGCGCTGCGCCTGTCTCTCACACAGCTGAGCCAGCTCCGAGCCGCCCGGCATTCACAGTGGGTTGTGCTCGGCCGCTACAACTCATCATCGTCGTCATCGTCATCTGATGACGGAGGCGACAGGCACAGCGGCGGTAGCGGCGGCGACAGGCGCAGCGGCGGCGGCGGCAGCGGAAATGGGTCACGTAGGAGTCACGAGGCAACGTCCGCAATGGACGTTGATGACGCCGCGACTACACAGGCGCCGCTGCAGGGCAGCGGTAGCGGCGGCAGCGGCGGCACCCAACCGCAGGCCAACCAGCAGCAGCTGCAGCACCTCAAACATCGACTGGACGAGGTGGACGCGGCGACGGACGGTTGTGGCGCTGCAGGAAGTGGTGGTGGCGAGGGGGCCTGCAGCCAGGACGGCGACGACGGGCGGCAGTTGCCGTCGCGACGCAACGTTGTGGCGCGAGGCCCGGAGGAGCCGCCCACTAGCGCTCTCGTGTTGCCGCCGCCGCCGCCGCCGGCGACGACGACGACGACGACGTCGTGTACGGGGAGCGGGGTGCTGCTAAGAGGTGCAGGTGGTGGAGGATGTGGCGATGGTGATGGTGTGGTGGTGGCAATGCCGTCATCGTCTTCTTCCGGGGTATCGCAGCCGCGGGGGCTTCAGCGGACTGCTACTGCTGCTGCGGTGGCGGCGGCGGTGGGGGACCGCCCTACAGCTACTGCCTGGGTCACCTGCTCGATCCCTACGGGCGGCGGTGGGAGGGGCATGGCTGCCGGATCTGGCTCTTGGTGGGTTGTTTAGGGCTTAGGGTGGATCGGGTATGCGGGTGCGAAGTGCGATGTTCCGCGGGTGCCTTTAGGGGGGCTACTTTGGGCTTTAGCGAAGGTTAGGTTTACAAGGGGTTTAGTACATGTTCATATCAGCAGGCTGAGTGGAAGCGAGTTAGGGAAGGAGGCGTGCGTCTGTGTAAATGTGTGTGTATATGTATGTATGTACATATATGCATGTATGTACGTATGTATGTATGTCGAAGGGGCGGTGGGAAAATGGCCCCCTTCTGGCAAATCGACCTTGCGCGGCTCCTCGACCGCGTGCAGTGTAATCCGGAAAGGTAACGTTCCGGCGAACTTTTCGACTTCCCACTGTTTCGGTCCCAATTTGACGGCTCTGTTTCAAGCTTCCGTTGGGGTTTTCGTGTACGGCATCTGCAGGTACGGCATCTGTACGATCCCGGACAGCCGCGATCGATGCTCCGGCGGCGGTGCATCCTCACTGGACAGCTTCAGCAGCGACACCAGTATGATGCTGCAGGGAGGGGACGGAGGCGGAGACGGCGGATGCAGCGGCAACCGCCACTATTTCGCAGCGGCGGCGGCGGCGACGGGTGTTGCCTCGAGCACCTCGCCGCCAGCCGGAGCTTCATGCTATGTGGCGACCGTCGGCATGATGGGGGTTGGCGGCGACGCCTCGGTCCGTACATCGAAGCGGGTGAGCGTTATGGGCGAGTCAGAGCATTCCGCTCCTGCACCACCCGCGTCCGCTACTGCCACTGCTACCACCGTTGTCGCGGCTAAGGCGTCTCAGCGGCTGCTGTCCGCATACCGGGCGCCTAGGTACAAGGCTCTGACTCCCGAGCAACAGCGGCTGTTCGAGGACTTTTAGCGCTGACACCCCCCTGGTTTGTGCTTTCCTTTGAGGGGGGATTGTTGTGTGGGGAGGCTGGGATGTGTACGGGGACTTGTCAGGTCAGGAGGT